ATATCACAATAGAAATGATACAACCTACCACATATATATTTACAATCTTGAATTGTTCAGAATGTGTCTAAATTTACAAGCAATCAGGAGGAGATGAGTTGCACAGATGTGAAATATGTAAGACAGCACTGATGTTTCGGCAGTAGCATGTCAGGTGAAACTTTGCATTGTTTATAAGATGTTTTCACACAATTAAATCCATACTAGTTTAGTTTGTAAAACTAAAGAACATAAAAAATATGTATTAGTATATATGGTTAATACTGGCTGGATCCTGACCAAGTAACTGACATAAATGATAGAAAGTGACATATAATCATATAATATAAACTTCTTTAAGTTGATTCTAAACGTGAGATACAATAATAAGTCACAAAAAAGACGTGCCAGACAAAATTAAGTGACAAGCTGCCAGTCGAGTAAATTAGTTCAGTAGGACAGTTCATAAACAAAGAAGTAGTAATTGAGAAACGAAAACAACGAACCAACCCTGTTACTTGTTATTAAGCACGATGATATGAAATAATTATATTGACTGAAAGAAGTCGTGTTTTTATTTTCTGGGAATTAATACTTATAATTGGTGATTTGGGCGCTCGATCGCAATCTGAGGGTCGCGAGTTCACTGAATATGCTTCGCTCAGTATGGTTGCCAGCCACCTGAGAGTAAACATTATTGACTTACATAAATACCGGCCGACGCCAAACTAGATTGGATTAAGGTCGTAATGAAAAACTTATAATAAATTTGTCGTGGTTGCTTACGATTTTAATTAGGAATAGGCCTAAAAGGGTCTTGCTTTAGGTTTCAATGTTGACGTCATTACGACCGTGGAATATTACATTCGATTTCAAACTTGTCGTTTAACGTTATTAAAAACTCGTTTAATGTGGCTATTAACCACACTACACTCGCTAGAAGTCCATAGCCTTACTTAATGTTTCGCAGGTTATAGTATAAAATATTACTAAATACCTTAGTTTTATTTAAAATACTGCTATTTTTGTCTTGATAAATATTAAAATTATAATTACATAGATTTTTTTTTGTTTTCTAACGTATTAAATAAAGTTTTGATGCCTCAAGTTTCGTTTAATGTTGTGCTAAACGTCCCTAATTTCATTTCTTGTTGTTTGTTTTATGGTATAAAGTCTTACTACCTGTCCCTAGTATCACTTCATTATATTATTGAAAACTACTTAAATAGGGTACATAATGCCCGAGCTAGAGAAGCATCGTCCCTTTTAAAATGAAATAAGATGTCAAAATAATTTTAATCATGTCACTCCTAAACGGTGTAATAAGTTTCCAATATATATATAAAAATACCACAGTAGCATGTAAACTATACGTTGCTAATAACCAACCATTTTAACCTGTACCTGAACTAGCTTACTAGGGCAACTGATAAGATAAGGATGAAATCACTTAACCAAATGTATCATGCTTACGTGACACGGGCATTAAGTACCACCTTTTTTATTCGCTCAGATACACCTTTGAGGTCGAAGTTTGGTAAAGTTTTAATAATATTGCTTTGGTGTATTATTAGCGACGTTTATACTTAACCTTTTAATCTTAATATATTTGAACAAGAAAACCCGAGACACAGCAACTTGACTGGCAGTGTTTTCAGTTTGTGCGATGCACGTACCATTTTGTATACTGTTGCAAAATTAGTTGCTAAGAACCACTAAGGTTTTGTTTTCGCTTTTCGGAATAACTTATATATTAGCTCTTTATCAATGTTTATTACTGTATTAACTTCTAACACATGTAACTTAAAAGCTCACTTTAAATAGGTAAAGTATATTGACAAAAATATTATTTTGTTATATTCTGCTGTGTATTTATCTTAAAACAAAATAATTTATAAAGCACACATATTTTTACAACAGATATTAAAATTATTCAGAAAAAAATAATAATCAAACTTAATTCTTAAATTCAACATCACACGATTGGTAAAACAACGAGATAAAACTGAATTCAACATGAGAAAAAGGTGTAAAACAATTCGATAAAACTGAATTCAACATGAGAAAAAGGTGTAAAACAATTCGATAAAACTGAATCCAACATCACAAGAGGGTTAAAACAACCAGATAAAACTGAATCCAAAATCACGAAAAGGTGTAAAACAACCATATAAATTGAATCCAACACCATAAAAAGGTGTAAAACGACCAGACAAAACTGAATGCAACATCAAAGAAAGGTGTAAAACAACCAGATAAAACTGAATTCAGCACACAATTTATAAAAACACACAACATCCGTTCGATTAACTTCTGTTTTAGGTTGTGTTCCACTTGTACGAAGCTACGCTTGTATATATAATCTAATAATTCTTCTATCCTAATAATACAAACACCACAACTCATACCAGATTGTACACAATGCCGTTTTACTAAACCTATATGTACAGACAAACAATTTCCTACATGTCGTCTTTAATTACCATTTGAGTTACGATCGGAGTAATTCGTAAACACCGGCAATAAGTACATCACTGGATGTTGATTTAGAAACCAATAAGAATTCGTAGCACTACAGGCAAGAGGGCTTTTTCTTTGTGCATAACATCATAAATTAAAAGTTACATTTGGTTATTATACATTCATGAAGCGTGATTAATGGCTTTATCAATCAATATATCTTGTCTCTGTTTAGATTACAGAATCTGAGCCCGGCATGGCAATCTGCGGGTCGCATGTTCGAATCCCCGTCACACCAAACATGTTCAACCTTTCAGCCGTGGGGGCGTTATAATGTAACGGTCAGTCCCACTATTCTTTGGTAAAAGAGTAGCTCAAGAGTTGGAGGTGGGTTGTGATGAGTAGCTGCCTTCCCTCTAGTCTTACATTGCTAAATTAGGGACGGCTAGCGCAGATAGCCCTCGTATAGCTTTGCGCGAAATTCAAAACAAACAAACAATTACAGAATCTGAGTAATAAAGAACTAATGAGAACACAACAGCTTATTACTAAGGACGTTCGTCATGCATATCTATTTTTCTATCTATCCATCCATCTATTTAGTCCATGAAACAGTCTAAAATAGGTTACCGACAACTAAACCTACAATTACCAGAATAATTTCACATAAAGGAATGAGCAATGGAAAGAGATAACTTACTTAATTCATGTGGTAGTATTCTTACAGAGATGTAGACAGGTTCAAACATTAAGGCATTTTCATATCTTATATACAGGCACTGGCATCACTACTTAAGGTTGTGTGTAGTGAAAAAATATTCAATAACCACTATATACTTGGACTTGTTCTTCTCGTGCTCCAGTACAAGTAACTAAGCCAACGGTTACAAAATTCCTCTGTTTAAATCGCATTATTTTAATGAAGAAACCTAAATTTAAAACAGTTAACTGAAAGATCAGTGTCGCTTGTCTGAACCTAAGAAAGTGCTAGATGAGGCTCTCTTAAAGTAATTTTCATAGTTGTGAAACAAAGTTATGTGTATTTATGTTTATTATACACTTGAAGCATTGTTAAGTAACTAAAAATCACGGTTTATTAACATGATATATATATATAACACTCATGTATTTACAATTATTATACACTTGAAGCATTGTTAAGTAACTAAAAATCACGGTTTATTAACATGATATATATGTATAACACTCATGTATTTACAATTATTATACACTTGAAGCATTGTTAAGTAACTAAAAATCACGGTTTATGAAAATGTTATATGTGTATAACACTCATGTATTTATGGTTATTATATTATACACTTCAGGCATTGTTAAGGAACTAAAAATCACGGTTTATGAATATATGTGTATAACACTCTCCTCACAAATGAATGAAGATTAGTAATCGTTTTCTAAAACGGCAATCTATATATGAAACAATATCTCCCTCCCCTAAAATTGAAGTTTTGAAATAGATGTAAAACCAAAAGAAACAAAGTAAACGACTACTTTAAATTTTAAAATGTTGTGACATCTGGTGTTCGAAACACTATACTATACTAAAAAAGAAATATCATTAAGAACGTGAACATATTTATCTTAATAAAAATACCTCTCTACAACACTACTCTAAAGTATCTACATATTTTGTACAATTCTAAGATTTTTAGTTGCATGTTTAGCTTTAGATGATATAACAGACAGATTACATACTAACATGAAAATAATATCGGACAGAAAGTACTTTGGCTAACTAACTGATCAGAAAGTTTCATATTGAACTCTATTAAACGATACCTTAATTAAGTAATAAAAAAACAATATTTAGTTTAGGACTACTGTAAAGCACAGTTCACGATACCTTAATAAAATACAATATATAGTTTAGGACTACTGTAATGCACAATTCACGATATATTAATAAAATACAATATATAGTTTAGGTCTACTGTAATGCACAATTCACGATATATTAATAAAATACAATATATAGTTTAGGACTACTGTAATTCACAGTTCACGATACCTTAATAAAAACAATATTTAGTTTAGGTCTACTGTAATGCACAATTCACGATATATTAATAAAATACAATATATAGTTTAGGACTACTGTAATTCACAGTTCACGATACCTTAATAAAAACAATATTTAGTTTAGGGCTACTGTAATTCACAGTTCACGATACCTTAATAAAAACAATATTTAGTTTAGGACTACTGTAATGCACAGTTCACGATACCTTAATAAAAACAATATTTAGTTTAGGACTACTGTAATTCACAGTTCACGATACCTCAATAAAAAATAATATTTAGTTTAGGAATTAGGACTATTGTAATGCATAGTTCAAGTTCGGAATTTTCGACAAAGATAAATAAAAAACTGCCCAATTTTTCACGCGTGTTAAGTAAAATTATGCATACATTTCTGGATGTTAGGAAAACATTATATCATGATATTTATTTTGAACTTACGAAGAAACCCAAACCGAGTTTACACACATAACTTTATGTGTTACAATCGAGTCACTTGAGAAGTAATTAGGAAGACTCACCCACGAAGGTCAAAGGTCAAGGGCACCGAGTTGGCTAAGCGCAAAGGTTCCTTAAGTACAGAGTTGAGGCTGAAAACAGTTGACGTGGTTTTCTTTTTTCGCCTGGAGTTGGTGGTGAAAACCCGCCGAAGTTTGCTTTCAGCGCAGCATCGCTGGCTCTTTTCTTCGGTAAGCTCAACCAGGTCTGAAACAGACCCTCGGTAGTGGCACAACATGCTTTGATCTAGTGTTAAGTAGGGGTATATCGCTATCTTGGTATATATATTTATATATGTGTGCGGGTTATAAACTAAAGTTACTTACTTACACATAAACATCATTTCGATGTTATATGACAGTATTGGTGCTTTTCGTATGCTTGCAAGTTATCAATATTGTTTTTTTTTTTTGTAAAGACGTTTCGAAAGTGACAATTTTGGTACACTCTATTTAAGCAATGTTCCACAATACTGATGATGCGAAGAAAATTAGAATGAATATGCAGCGTATGAAATGAATGTATTAGGCAACGATTATGTCTAATTGCTGTATCTCAGAAGCAAGATATTTTCCGATCGTTTCTCGGAGAGAATGAACCTATTTTTCGAGAACTTCTCTTTAAGTCCTTCCCTTTTGTTGGAGATATGGAAGCTTTAGGCTTGCTCCGGAAATCGTCGTCTACGCCGGAGCTGTCACGTGCACGCTTCAGGCAATAATGAAAAGACACTAACTAAAGTGGGCTTTAACCACCCCTTGCTTCTCCGTGCTTTCGCAGAGGCAGGTGCACTGAGCATTAGAACCTTAGCCTCAACCCAGGTAGCTTCACGAGGAACTTGGGAGGTTGCTACAATTATATAGTTTACTTTTATTCCTAGGAACGTTCACGTTAGTCGAAGAAAATATATGTTAATATATTAAGAATAAATTTAATAAAACGCTGCTATTAAATTACGTAAAATACACGGGATTTTGTTTGTGGTAGGAGACATTTATTTACGTTATTTTATGACCTAAATGAAAAATAGATAAATAAAAAAGGTACTACGAACAGGAGTTCACGTAAGTATTTATGTAGGCCGGGAATGGTATGATCGTTAGCGTAACGGAGTGTGAATCAGCGGGTCCATGGTTTGTGTCCCGTTACCTGAAAATGTCTGTGAGCGCGTTATAAGAGTGCTCGCGAAATTCATCTATTCGATTAGAGTAGTTCAAGAGTTAGCGGATGGTGCTGCTGACTACATGCCTTCACTCCAATCAATCAGTTCCGAATTAGGGATAGCCCTTGTATATATATATATATATATATAGCCTTGTGCGAAAATCCTAAATAATAGTAAGAAGAAAACAACAACAACAAAAAAACGTTAGGTATGAAATGTTTATTTAAGAAAATACCTGCTACGACTACTTCTAAAGTTTTTCCACCTGAAATTGGGATAGAGCCTGTGATTTCCTGTTTTATAAAAAACCGTTCCAAAACACATCAAAAGTAGATACATTTACTTATTTTGTTTGAAAAGAGTACTTAATTGTTATGTTTAGTTTGTTTTGAGCAAAGCCACATTGGGCTATCTGCTGCGTCCACTGCGGCAACTCGAACCCCGGATTTTATCGTTGTAAATCCGTAAACTTACTGCTGTCCCACCTGGGGACGTTATTTTAGGTAATGTATGTTACATTATGTAAAAAATAAAAAAAAAATCTCAGCCAATCAAAAATGGGACACAAGTCCTCCCATTGATATGCTTATTGCCAGTAGCTTTATCGAATATTCTGGAACATTTATGGAAATGGCAGATTTCAAATACCGGGATGAAAATAATAAACGATCTGAATCAAGAACAACAAAGCTTTTTCTTTTCTTTTGCATGTGTATCTTCAAGTGTACTGATCAACAACTGGTTACCCATGTACTCCTTTCAGGAAAAGATCTAATCAACAAATCTAAAATCAAAGTTAAAAAAAAAGGTTGAAAATCGAAGCAACGGATCGTTACTGACACTGGATTAAAAAAAAAAAGCATGTCTGTAGTTAAGCACAAAGCTACACAATGGGCTATCTGTGTTCTGCCCACCACGAGTATCGAAGCCCGGTTTAAAATATGACTTATACAACTCACAGATTTTAAAGACTGGTTTATTTACAGAGTTTTTTATTATTATTAAAAGTTTCATCTGTACGAAACAAAAGTCATTCCCTTTTTCCCACTTGTAAGCTCTAATGGCTGACAAGGTAGCAGTTATATCAAGATCTGTAGCAGGCGTAACATTTTTACTTCTGAATTTTTTTTTATATGTACACTAAAATATTTTATAGGTAAATTTGTACTAGACTTCGCTGATGTCTGAGAGATAAATAACTCGTATTTGAATAAATACATCTAGTCTCATTTTCTCAGATAATTCAGTTATATACATTATATAAGAGACAGTACTTTCTTCGGATATAGTTTTCAAAGTTTTGAAATCAATAACGTACTTAGGGAAGAAAAACAAGCTTTTAAATAGTGTAAACACGTTTCCCATTGTCAGAAAAGAACGCAAGAAGCTTTAATCCGTTAGCAGCGAATCCGTGTACAAAAGCAGACGTCATTACTAAGATTGTAGTTTAGTAAATCCTAAAAGTGGTAGTACTTTATTTCTATCTTCGTGTTCTAATTGCTGGCCTACGTTTTCGCCTTTTAAACAAACTTACGTTTCATATTTTATTGATAGTTATATAACAGTATGGCTTATTCTTCCTAAAACTATCTGAAGAACAACTTATCGTTTCTAAAACTATAAAAAAGGTCACCTTATTATTTCTAAAAAATAACTGAAGAAAAGGTTAAACCTTCTAACAGTATATAAAGACCAGATTATAGTGGTTTTAAAAAAATATCTCAATTACAGAGAGTAAATGCAAAAACACGTAATCATTCTAGAAAGTAATTATCCTGAACGGACTCCGATGTCTTAATTTGGTGATTAGTTGAAATTGCAAACTTTTAAGCCGTGATCAGAATAAACATAATATGTTTGCTTGAACTGACGTATTTTTAAGATAACGATTGTTGATTTTAATAAACTGGATAATTCTCAACTTGAATTCCCGGTGAAGGACGTAATGAGAGTAAGACTTTATTAATTTTCTTGATATCGGATTTAATATATAACTTTATCGCAAATACTGAAGAAAATAAAGATAAAGAGTTTCTAAATTTTTGAAAAAAATGGTTTTAAGTTTCTGATTTACTCTATAATTGGTAAAATAACCAAAAACTAACTCAAGGTCTTGAGCTAAACGACCTTAATGGAAACTAAAGATTATTTGACTTCGTACGCATATAAAAACTAAAGCAGGCCTAAAGGGGAAAAAAAAAAGATTTGAGGATCGAGCAAATAGAAATAGGAATAGTGGCAAACTACACAAAAATAGCCAAAATGACGTTGAGAGCTAAATTTGCTGTTATTAGTTTTTCCTCGTGTAAAAGCGCCACCACTTTTCAGGTAGAAATAACTTCTTCCTCAGACAACACGCCTATGAATTTCTTTCCTAATTAACTGCATCTGACACATAATAACTTACAAACATTTACTTGCTCATTATTTGCGACGTATATAATCAACTATTAAGACCCAGTAGTAAGTTGAACGCCTACTTCGATAATCTTAGACCTAAGTCTTGATTCACAAGAGAAAGGTCTGTAGGGCTTAACGCAATCCGTAAGATTAGTCTCTTTATTACAACTAGTAAGACGCTTAGAGAACGTTTACGAATAATATTCGTTTCTCTAGCATTAAGATATCCATTAAGATATTCTAAGGTATATGATTAGGAAAGTGAATTCTATACTCAGATGAATTTGTATAAGGATCATGATGTGACATTTTCAGGTAAAAACTACTACTGATTTCCTGCCAAGAATCAGATAGAGGATTCGCAAATAACTATAGATTCGTTCAAGAAATAAGGAGAGTGATGCTGATTGGACAAATTAACTGAGTCTTCCTAGTGTGTGTAAAAATGAAAATAACTTTTATTAAAGAACAAACGAAAAGAAAACGCAGCGTACGCTCGCGCACATGAAAAGCCAGTTGCTTCTATTAGGCTGTGTTTAGATCCATAGCTTTCTCTCTCTCGGGATAGATTTTCGTCGGACTAAACACGATTATTTTACATGAAAATATTCACTCTAACCTCATAGCAGATCTGAACCAAGAAAGCGCGCCGAAAATTCAACAGGTAAACTCGCTTACTTCATCAAGTTGACAGTATCAATTTGTAACATTTATTGCCTCATAGCATTAGTTTTGATGTAACATTTAGTCAATGTCATAATCGGTAAGCAAAAGATATTACAGTGTCAATCCTTTTAACTCAAATACTATATATTACTGATATATCCTATCCGGCCGAAGAAACCTCACCTATTGGAGGGAACATATAAACAAAGCAATTAACTGAAGTAAGCTTAACGATATTGTAAACCACGAGTTTCCTCCATTACAGGACGAAAACTAAATAACTGAAAACTATTGAAAATGTCTTTAAACTTGCGACATGGTTGAAGAGTACATTAATTTTATTCCTCAAAAATCAGAACTACTTACACGCCTCATGGAAAACACAAACTTTTAGGAATGAACTACACCTTAATACAACAAGATAAAATCCTCTAAATACAACATAAAATACGATACAGTAAGAAAGTATAATCTTTATTTATAATCTGAGAATGAAAAAAATCAAAGTATTTCATTAAAATAAAAAACTCTTTAATTAGAACTGGAGACCAAAAATCAATCCCTTATATATGATCTTTTAATTTTAGAAATCAAGTAAAAACACTAAAGAACGTGACAAAATGAAATGGTCAAATAGAAACATTTTAAATGTATTTCATGTGAAATATAAGACAATGCTTGTTTGTTTGTTTTTAATTATGTACAAAGCTACACAAGGGCTATCTGTGCTCTGCCCACCACGGGTATTAAAAGCCGGTTTCTAGCGTTGTAAGTCCGCAGACATACCGCTGTGCCATTGGGGGGTTATAAGACAGTGCATTTCACAATAAAAGAATGATAATAATTAACAAAACCTTTAATTGTATATATAATTTACCAAATTCTCAGTGTTAAAAGTATTTTTGATATTGTTTCATTCTGATTCATTATCCATTGGTTTTTGAATTCATTGTTGAAACAATATCAAAAATACCTTTAACACTGAGAATTTGGTTTGTTCGTGTCGTCCCTAATTTTGGGGTGATAAAATAGAGGGAAGGCAGCTAGGCAGCACCATCCACCGCCAACTCTTGGGCTACTCTTTTAACAACAAATAGGGAGATTGACCGTCACATTATATCACCTTCATAGCTGAAGGGGCGAGCATGTTCGGTGACGGGGAGATGAATTCGCGACCCGCAGATTACGAATCGAGCGCTCTAACCATAACCACCAGGCTAACATAAAGGAAGATTGTCATACAAAAACCTTTATCACGAAACGAACACATCATTATAACAGTTAAAAGAAAATGTAGACATAAATGAAGATTACTGTATAATAACAACAAAAAAAGAAGATGATATAATTAGAAAAACAAATTCAAACCTTTAACACTGAAAATACCCATTTTAATTTGAATATACAAGCAGTAGCATGGTAAGCTTACAGTATATATATATATATATATATGCTATGCATGAAATTAAAAATAATAAATGTATACATATAAAAAGTCCCTGTTCTTTTACACACGCTCACATGCA